TTTTAGAATAGTTTTTGTAGATTTTGATAGCTGAAAAAGCCACTGTCCAATTTCAATTTGATTAAAGCAAAGTAATTCAAGGACATTCTATTAAAGCAGGCAACCTATGTATATACAGACTTATCAGCAAAATGACTTCTGCTGCTACAAATTAAGGAAGAAAAAGAGCAAAGGTTTTCTTTAATCTTAATATAGGCAATGCTCTACCAAATTAAAAGAAGCAATTTGATAAGCAGATCATCAACAGTGAATTGTGCCTTTTTATTATTTCTATTTTACTATTTATGATTACATACAATGCATGACTAGCATTAGCAAAGTCCATATACTTTTCTCTATAAGTTATAAAATGCTGCTCAGACTTCATCCTCTAATTTCCTTATCAAAATGTACTTTATATTTGTGATTCTTATACACACTTATGACATCGTTTAGACGTTTGGAGATTAAATTAATTAAATAAAAATGGAGAATCTCAGCTTCTTCTCAATGAAAAAAGGACAGGGAACCATCATCAGGATCAACATCATCAGATTTTAGCTGCATCAAATATCTAAAAAAAAATTGAAAGAAGATGACACTTAATATATTGGGAAGAGGATATGCCTTCCATAAAAAAGGTATTTTAGCTTTTGTAGCATTCTGCTTCAATTGATCGAATGCTCCGGCTGTGAATGTGTCTGCACACACTAAAGCTGGGTTCCAACCCTTTTGCTTGTGGTAGTAAGCATATTTTTTACAAGTTGTTGTTTTTCCAGATCCTGTGGTAAAACAAAAGAATATAAATATTACTGCAACTGTCTTTATTCGGTGGAAAAGAAAAAGGAATGGGGTTTGCATTATGTATAATTGCAACAAAATTTCCTATTGCAACTCACCTTGCAATCCAACAAACATGACAACACTGGTTTCCCTCCTTTTTGGTGTAAAAGAAGGCCTCCCGGGATCCAATATCTTGCAGAGTTCATTAAATACAGCCTACATTGATGAACAAACCGCTTTAAGTTAAAGAGGAATATGGTGAGGGCAAAAAGAATTGAAATGNAAAGAATTGAAATAATTTACTTTTGATAACTATTTCGCATGACAAATCAGGAAAATGCCAACTAGAGACTTGGGTACAACAACAGCAGACCAACAGACCCGACCGAGTATATTTCCACAGCGTGGGGTCTGGGGAAGATGGGGTATGAAGAAGGTAGTGTGTACGCAGACCTTAAAAGGAAAGACTGTTTCAACTAGAGACTTGGGTATTACCAACAAAAAAAAGGAAAGNAACTAGAGACTTGGGTATTACCAACAAAAAAAAGTATGAAAAGAGATCATGTGACAAGACTCCCAAATAAGTTGCTCTACACTAAAAGAAAGAACAACAGCCGTCTAGGTACTCAATCTGTATAAAAATTGACATAAGTCTACAAGTTTTTCCATCAAAATCAAACAAGAATGTAATGTCACACGAAAGTTAATCCTAATTTTCAATCTACAGACATTCCTATATACATCACCAGAGGAAAGTCCATAATAAGATCACCACTCAAAAACTTACCAACTCAAGATATTATTTTCAATCACATGAAAGCGGCAATATAGACTTCAAAAATAGGTTATTTTACACTAAAGAAAGAACCACAGCTGTATAGGTCCTCAACCTGGATAAAACTTAACATAAGTCTACAAGGTTTCCCTTCAAAATCAAACAAGAATGTAATGTCACAAGAAATTTCATTCTAATTTTCATTTTAGAGGACTGTCTTCCTATAACAAGTGCACTCTCTGTCTATATCCACTCATACATCACCAGAGCAAAATCCATGATAAAGTCACACTAAAAAACTTACCAATATTAGACATGTTCATCAGTTCATCTCTATACAGAGGCAAATCCAGAATTTAAACTTTATGGATTTAGATTCGCAATTCTACCACATCTCATATAATATAATGGGTTCAAAATTTATTATTTGTATATATTTAATATTTTTTTTGGTCAAAAATACAGGGAATGAGTGAAAGCTATGGGTTATGTTGAACCCATAGCTTTTACACTGGATACGCCTCTGTCTCTATGCTTTAGTACCTCAATATTAATAGGCTTAAATGGATATCTACCAAAGTCCAAAGTAAACGAAGAGTAATATAATTAGTGCTAACACGCATATATGCAAAGTTCAGTTTTCTTCTATTGAATAGTGCAAACCATTTTTTTGGTATAACCATCTAGCATCCGTAACCCACTTGCTCGACTAATTCAGATTCGCATAGGGCCCATTAAAAGGGGAAACACTTCCTATCAAGGATTTTCCCTTTCTAGGCTTCAACCCCATACCTCTAGTCAAAGGTGAAGGAACCCATCCATCCCACCACATTCTTTCGCGGTGCAAACCATTATTTCTATGAGAAGGACATTATATTTGTTTATTTTGGTATAATTAAATTGTATTAATCATCGAAAATGTTAATGCTGTAATTTATTTTATGTTTGCAACACACTGTAATTATTCTTAATAGTACTTGAAACCAAAATCTTCTACAATTTGCATGCTCAAATATCCACATTAGAAATATGTGATATGCAAATCAAAAAGAAATATGCAAACCTGTTGGATGATCTTGCGTTTGTTCATTGAGGCAATCGTTGA